GCCAATGAGATCTCCTCTCTGTGGATAACGAGCCAATGAGATCTCCTCTCTGTGGAGATAATGAGCCAATGAGATCTCCTCTCTGTGGATAACGAGCCAATGAGATCTCCTCTCTGTGGAGATAATGAGCCAATGAGATCTCCTCTCTGTGGATAACGAGCCAATGAGATCTCCTCTCTGTGGAGATGACGAGCCAATGAGATCTCCTCTCTGTGGAGATGATAAGCCAATGAAATCTCCTCTCTGTGGATAACGAGCCAATGAGATCTCCTCTCTGTGGATAACGAGCCAATGAGATCTCCTCTCTGTGGAGATAATGAGCCAATGAGATCTCCTCTCTGTGGATAATGAGCCAATGAGATCTCCTCTCTGTGGATAACGAGCCAATGAGATCTCCTCTCTGTTGAGATGATGAGCCAATGAGATCTCCTCTCTGTGGATAATGAGCCAATGAGATCTCCTCTCTGTGGAGATAATGAGCCAATGAGATCTCCTCTCTGTGGATAACGAGCCAATGAGATCTCCTCTCTGTGGAGATAATGAGCCAATGAGATCTCCTCTCTGTGGATAACGAGCCAATGAGATCTCCTCTCTGTGGAGATAATGAGCCAATGAGATCTCCTCTCTGTGGATAACGAGCCAATGAGATCTCCTCTCTGTGGAGATGACGAGCCAATGAGATCTCCTCTCTGTGGAGATGAAGAGCCAACGAAATCTCCTCTCTGTGGATAACGAGCCAATGAGATCTCCTCTCTGTGGATAACGAGCCAATGAGATCTCCTCTCTGTGGAGATAATGAGCCAATGAGATCTCCTCTCTGTGGATAATGAGCCAATGAGATCTCCTCTCTGTGGATAACGAGCCAATGAGATCTCCTCTCTGTTGAGATGATGAGCCAATGAGATCTCCTCTCTGTGGATAATGAGCCAATGAGATCTCCTCTCTGTGGAGATAATGAGCCAATGAGATCTCCTCTCTGTGGATAACGAGCCAATGAGATCTCCTCTCTGTGGAGATAATGAGCCAATGAGAGAGAGAGAGAGTTCAGCTAAAGGTCGATCTGTGGCTTCGAACGGCTTCATGCTTCATGAATAAAAGTCCTCCATGGAGACGAGGACTCGCTGCTCATCTGATATTCAGAGCACCATCTCCCTGCGCTCGTCATTAATGTGAAGTCAAAGAGAAGGAGAAGAACTCCAGAAGGAGAAACTTTCCCTGGGGACGAGAGACCTTTACTCACGTACACTACAGCAGCGACACACACATCTCTGTGTTGTTTTGCAGTCTGAACATCCTCATGAGTTCCGCCTGAAGCAAAACTATGGAGCGAATTATGTGCCAAAATTAAATAAATCCAGCATTTTGCAAACAAACTCGATCTGCTTTGCAAAGGAAAACTCGACTCGCAAACAAACAGAAAGCAATCTGCAAATATAAAGGTCAATTTGAGTGAAAATGCAGTGGAGTAACAAATAATGTGTGTAACAAATATAAATAAATGAGCCTTGATGATATTTCACAAATAAATACAAACCATTCTACAAATTGCGTGTAACCTTTAAACAAATACCAAATCTGTAAATATCTGCCATTCCATTCCAAGTAAAATAATTCTAAAAAAAAACAAAATGTAAAATCTTTTTGATAAAAATGACTTAAAGGCACCAGTTAATAACCCTCTGCTGATCGGACTGTCCGTGAGAGGATGATGGGAGCGCACTATAGTCTTCTGCTGACAAATAAACGTCCATCAGCAAACTTACACTAAGATGACAACTATTAGAGTTTTTCAATTATACTAAAATAACACTGGAAGTAGTATCAAAATCAAACGGGAAAAAACACACCAGATCAAGAAACAACAATAATCACGAGAGGGGGTGTGGCCACCAGAACCTGACACACACTCGGACCAATAGCACGGCAGCGCAGCTGTGATTGACAGGTGCAACAGTTCATAGAGGATGTCTTTCAGTTTTTGTGTGAGAACGGAAGAGAAACGTTTGTGGTGTTCAACAGTGTTGAGTGTCAGTAATTGCGAGAGTCATTAGTTGTGATTCAGACAATCAGAATAAATATATATTTACACCGTCAGGGTTCGTCAGCGCTACGTGACTCAAACACTCAATAGTGTGAAAACACTCGTTTACAGGACTCATATTCACTCGGCTTCATTGAGAATGACACAAGATATGACTGGACTAAGACACAAGGGGCGGGGCTTAGTGAATGGTCAACGCCCACTACTCCCCCCCCCCTCATGCGGTGTGTGTCTCTTGATGATGATGATGATGATGAAGAAGATCACTCCTGACATTAATGGCTCTCTCACACATGCTCTTGTCAGACATATAATTACTAGACGAGTTCAGGTCACTAGCCTCGACCGAACCCTCTGCCTCCTGTGTGATGATGAACAGGAAGTGACATCGTCTGATCAGACTGACAACACTTTTACATTTGAAATAACTCAATTAAACACACACAATCAACAGCAATA